GCTTGTACCCGTAATTTCACTACCTTTACCTTTCAAAACCGGAATGAAACGGCAGTAAAGTGAGCGTGTTTTGCGGCAAAAATTGGTAAGATGGCGGTATTTCCCTGGACGAACTCTATCACGAGGAACTCTACTGCTACTGAAGGAATAGCTTTCCAGACAATCACACCAATTAAGTACCTGGTCTCAAAATAGCGTATTAAGCAATTTCTCAGAGTTGCACTGCAACTGTTGTGGACATGCGTGTCGCTTACCATCACTTATTATTATAATTCATTGTAATGTTCTTGGCAAAACCTGTCAGTTCAGGAAGTTAAAAAATAGTGAATTACCACATTGCCCAAGTCCACACTTTTCGTACGTCTTACATATCTGAGAACATCCTACAATACCTTGACCCTGACGGTCTGACAAACCTACCACCTATATAACACCTCATCTCGACCCATCGATGGCATTCTAACACAGATATCTGGATCGATAACATCATGAAACTGGTTAGTCAACAATCAATTCAATTTAAAAAAAAATCTAAAAAAAGGCATCTTTTTGAATTACGACTTTTAAATACTCCGGATTCGTGAATTTTTGGACAATGATTTAATTGTAAACGTTTTTTGAGTTACGTCGTTTTGAATTTTTATATAGGTTAGACGCGACACGATTCTAAAGTGGTTTTTTTAGATTAAGCATGTTTAAGTCGATAGTGTCGTGAATTTGGTAATAGTATTGAATAGTTTAATTGGAAAGTGTAAAGTGTAAAGTTTTAACGGTGTTATTAATGTATCTACAATTAATTATATTTGCTTTTTCTATCCACAGTTGATCTTAGCGACGATCATTGGCGCCTGCACGGCAGCGCCTCAAAATCAATACTATCCGCAGTACAGAACTCCTTATTACCCAGCAATAAGAACTCGAGGTGCATATGAAGGGAACGCCCAGATCCTCAGATCTATAAACGATCAAAATGAAGCAGGATACAGTTACGCCTACGATACGGAAAATGGTAAAAATTACTTTTATTCGTGTTTTTTTTTATGATATCAACTTACGGGGCGAACAAGTCGTGCTTCTAGCGGTAACTGACAGGCCTGTTAATAACAGAGTGAGACATAAGTTGAGTTTCAAGTGACTGTAATTTCACCAGCACCCTTAATTATGTCACGTTTGATATACATTAAGTTTTCATGTCATAATCCAAGTACACTTGATCAGCTGTGATGACTTTGGTTGCCTAACAATTTGAACTGTGTGCGTTGAGGAGATCCCGAGTTCGTTTCCTTGTAGTATCAATTTGGGAAAATAACATTTCGAAATTGTGTTCTTAGGTTTACGTGGTTGTTACACATTGAAAGTGAAACAATTTTTTTTCGTATCTAAATCGTGTGTTTGTTTATTTTTTAAACAATACAAAGTGTTGGTTTGTTTGAAAAAACAACTTAATTGGTGTGGTTGTTTGGACCTCTATTACTTTAGTAGAAGTAGAGCTTCTTGTAAAAGTGTTCGTCCAGGGCAATACTGCCACCTTACCTATTTCTGCCACCACTTGTCAAATTATGTCTCAGGGTGATAGGCGCAGTGACCGCGGCCCTCGAATCTTTGCGATTTAAAGCTCTGAGTGGCGTGGGGAGGCGTACGACTTGTTCATCCCGTCAAAACTTTTCTTCATTCGCCCTATCCACATACCTAGCTATAACTAGCTCGATTGGTAGGTTACATCGGAGAGCCCTTGAATGCCTTACGAGAAGATCAAACGACGCTTGCATGTTAATTTAAGTGAAAAGAGAACTTAGAAAGGAAAATTTCTCTTAATTATAACCAAAACCGCCGTTATTGTAAGTTTAATATAGTTAAATCTAACTGTGTTAGGTTTACTGTATCAGTACATATCCGTATGTCTAATGTTTACTATTATAATTATCATTTTCTTTTTTCAAAAGTTTTTGGAATTTCATCTATTTGTCAAGTTTTATTCAAATCTGTTACGGGAAGTGGATGAAATCAAATATGGAATCATCCACTAATTTGCCAACCTTAGAGGTGGAATATTTTCTTCGAATTCGAATGGAACCGCTACTAACGTATTGCCTTTCCACCAAAAAAAGAATTATCGAAATCGGTTCACAAATAAACACAAATAAAGTACAGTCGAATGAAGAACCTCTTCCTTTTTTGAAGTTGGTATAACAGACAATGATGCGTAACATTTCCCGCCGAAATTACATGAAATGGAAATTCTCTCTCTCAACAGTATTTCATATTTTAGTGTAACCGACAGGATCAATAATGAAATCATAACGCATACGACCCCACTTGTTATCACAACCGACATAGTACATCACTATTTCGTCGTTTAATGTAAACAAAGTGGCAAAAAACGTATAGCACCTTGTTGCACATTTTTGAATAACGTCTGAACATCTCGAAAATCTTTAAACAAAGATAGCAAAAATATTATAAGCGCCAAAAATTGTTTTGAAAAAATTTTAACTGTTAGACAATTGGTTACGAAATTTATTATTGTACAGGATTATTTGTAATATACTAACCACCTCCATAATTTTAGGCGAAGCTGCAGTGCCTTGAATACCACCGTAAAATTGCCTGCTTATCGGTATTTTACAGGATATATCACGGAGAGTGTGCTATGGAATTACACGATTTAATTCCGCCTTCCCCTTTCCATCATCTACCTACCCAGTCCCCCAGGCGTAGGCTTGGATTCCACTTCTTTCTTGTGAATATTCCAAAGATTCGTACGAAGCGTTACGCTTCCACATTTATACGGCGAACGGCTATGGGGTGGAATTCCCTGTCTGCAGGCTTGTTCCCTGAACGTTATAACTTGGACCTTTTCCAGGCGAGAGTGAATAGGCATTATTTAGTGTGCATACTATATCGTCGACCTCATCGTCACTTTCCATCAGGTGAGATGGAGGTCAAATGCACACTTACATTTGAATTTAAAGAAATAATAAAAAATATTTAAACAGATCGCTTTAAACAGTGATAACTCTGTGCAAAACGCGAGAGACGTCGAAGAAGACGCTTGCAAGTTTGACCTTCATACCTTACCTTACTTCACCTTATTTTATACTTGCCTTGTACTACCAAATACAGACCAAAGACCAAGCAAGTGTCAGGTAGTACATATGTATATATATATATATTTGGTAAATTTACCATATTTTGTCAAAAGTCACGGAACGAAAGTTGTTGTTTAGCATCGAGTATATAACCAGAAATAGAGACGAAATGTCATTTAATTTGTTAAAAAACTATTATGTAAAATCATTGACTTACAATTATATGGACGTCGGGTCCGTGCTAAAAAGTGTCCGAAGTTATAGGGCGTTAAAATTGTATACAGAGCGTCATTCACGCTTTAGTCTTCGTTTGTTCGACTGACAGCGAAGCAAGCAAAATTAGACGGTACTGCGATGACATTACAATTTAAATTCAACGTTTTAGCTTTTTCATATTCCTTTACATGTCACTACGTTTAAATAGGTTGACTTGGGACATTTTTTTCGTGGTTTTTGTTAGACCCGTCGTCCATTTATTTGTAAGTCAATGTGTAAAATCATTACGGTGACAACTGTGCTCCGATTGACCAGCCCGAATTCGAAACAATTGACGGGTGTCAATTGTTTCACTTACTCGCACACCACCAAATGTAACCATTGTTAAAGACATTATCTTTATTAGAATAAATACAGAATATTTTTGGAATATACGGAGACGTACACACAGGTCAGTTGTTGGCGCTGTACTATGTCAGCTTTCTAATTTGTGATTTCAGTGCAAACGAGAGTTGATATTTAAATGTGATATAAGGCCCATTTGGCTGATGGGTTACCAGGGATGGATGGACCTTATTTCGTCTCTATTTTTGGTTATATGCTCAATGGATGTTAGTAATATACTCTTGCAAGGTAGTTATTATTTTAAAAATAACCTGTGTATTAAAATTCTGTTTAGTATCACACGTATTATGCAGAAATATAAAAAAAACTACTTCTGTAACACGAAGTCGGTGGTAATGGCTCGATGTGTGGCTTTATTTACCAAGAGGCGATTTCATGTGTCAGAAGTATTTAACCAATGTGACGTAATAAGTGTAAATACAGTAAATTATATTCCATTGGTTATATACAGATACCATTAATATTCAATGTTATCTTTTTCCTAGGCATCCAAGTTGAGGAAACAGGTCGTGAGGCCAACGGTATCCAGGCAGCTGGAGGTTACTCCTACACGGGAGACGACGGACAGGTGTACAGCGTGAGGTACACAGCTGATGAGAACGGATTTCAACCCCAAGGTGCTCATCTGCCGACTCCACCTCCCATTCCGGAAGCTATTGCTAGAGCCCTTCAGCAGAATGCTAGAGATGAAGCTAATGGCATTTTTGACGATGGTAAGTTTCTGATCTACTGATAGCGTAGGTTTTAATTTGACACGTTTTAATCTTTAGTTCACGTTTAGTTTATCAGTTAAAAGTTGCTCAGTGAGCTATGGAACGAGCTATGTTCGGAGTTTCTCTGAAGGATAAGATACGAAATGAGGTTATCCGACAGAGAACTGAAGAAGAAGGTCGTTGACATAGCTGGTAGAATAAACGAGCTGAAGTGGATGTGAGCTGGCCATATCGGTCGAAGAAGCGGTAACCGATGGTGGAAACGAGTTCATGAGTGGATACTACGGCTTAGCAAAAGTAGTGTAGGACCCTCTGGCCAGATGACGATATGCGAAATGCTGCTGGCAGCTGATGGATGCGACAAGCTGTCCGACAAGTTGGGATGTCCAGCGGTGGTCTATGCTTATAATATCAAGTGACGGGACGAACAAGTCGTGCGCCTGATGCTAAGCTTCACGCCTGTTCATAACAGTTGCAGTGCCACTCAGAGCTTTAAATCGCAAAGATGTGAGGGGCACTGCCACTGCACCCATCATCCTGAGATATAAGTTGACAAATTCCATCTGCCTGTAAATTCACCACTCGATACATTATCGCATCGCGTAACATACACACACAAAAACTACATTCGAATTGAAAACCTCCTCCCTGTTTGAAGTCGTTAAAAATATTTTTTTGCTTTGCAGGAAGCTACAACGAAGGCAAATACAACGGAGTGTTCCCTGCAAGAACCTACAACCCTTATAACCCGTTTCAAGCTAGGCAGTACCAAGGCTTTAGACAGAGGTTTTAGTCTATCTATACAATTGCCAAGAAACGTTATTTGACCTATGACTATGAGAATTGGTATATCTGATTGTGTCATCAAGCTGAAAAATGGAAAGATATATATCACCGTGACATTATCATAAGAAACTTCAAGGAAAGATCTTGTATCCAATTTATCTTCCGTTACCTTCAGCAATCTGTTTATGTAGTGGGCCGTTTTAAATAGTATTAAAACTACACCAAATTTTCTGTCTGTTCATTATCTCATGATAGGCCATAATACACTGTGTTAAATTTGCGTTTATTGTTGAATTTAATCCTCCTCAATATAATGCTACAAATGAGGGTCCAGGCTATATGTTCTCGTTCGCCGTCTGACATCTATCTGAAACAATTGCTCTCAAATAAGTAATTACTCGACCAAAATTAAAAGACAATGCCAAGTATGAAGCTTTATTCGCATCACGTGTTTTTTTTTATTTGGCCGTGTATTCATATTTGACAATAATTGTTTCGGATAGATGTCACACGGCGAACGAGACAGTACAGTACAGTACAGTACAGGGACTGTGGGGTGTTAGTTCAGCTGCATAGTTGACCATCGGGCCCCTGCAACAAAAATACTAAAAAGATTTTCCAGTTCTGTAGAGGTCTGAGATGTATAACGAACCAGGTCGAAATCATTGTTATTGATAAGCTAAGAATGTTAGTGCCATTGAAACAACCTTATTATAATATAATAAGTGTGATTATAAATTTGAATAAAAACGGATTGGTGCAATAAAATAACGCTTGTGAAGTTTGGAAATTGATTTTATTTTATAATTCTGATAAGTGTTATGTTTTTGAATTGAAATATTTCTGGAGCTCTAAGACGTAAAGTAAATTAATTAAGGAATGAAATTGCTTTTATGAAGTTCTAGCTACTTCAAATACAAAAATATGTTTTTAGTATGAGTATATATACACCTCGTATAAGGTGGAAGAGGTTTGCTCTGCTAGCTGGTGGGCAGAGTTACTACGTTCAGGAATCAGACGACAAAATTTGGTGAAGGAGACTTGATATATTGTACTGAAGCTTATAAAAGGCTTACAATACAAATGTGTCCAAAAAAATGGAATGGTCTCGTTGGACGCGAGCGCGGCGCAGAGTCAAAGTCAATGAATCATTTATTCCATAGGTAAAATAAATTTGCACTTGAAAACGTCACATTTAAGCTACTGTTCGTTCACTACGCTGCCTTCCCTGAGAAGAATGAGCAATTGCTCTTTTCAATTAACTTAAATGCTATGGAATATACTTTGAATCAAATTTGTGTGTAATCTAGAGCCAATGTCGTCTTCTATACATCTTTATCTAACACGTAGTCTTCAATTTTGTAATATGACTTGTCAATCAAAATATTTTTAGTCTAGTTTTTGAACTTAGGAAATGATAATTATATGCTCCGGAATCTTATTGTAAAAATGTATACAGTTCCCGGTAAAAGTGTCGTTTACCTTGCATAAACGAAATTGTGGTACCATGAGTTTGGGCTTAGCTTTAAGGTTAAAATTATGAGATCGCGACAAATCCCGGTGGGTGCGAATCTACAAAAAGACACTCAGTCTGAGGTGTTCTCGTAGCTTGTCGCGAAAGATGGGCGCGAGTTCGAGACGAGAGTTGCACTTCTACCGTCGTTAAAGAATATAGAGCTGGGTCCCAAATCTTCTAATTTTAAATCATCTCATTTGTGTGTTGATGGCAGGATTATATACGTTTGTTATTCTGCTAAAAGTTAAGGGTTTATAGCTTATCAATAGTCAATAGTCATCGAGCTACTCTTCAGTTGCCATTGCAATTGTTTAGTACTCTGCTCTTCAATGGCGAGTCGATGGTACGTCGATGGCGTAGTATACCAATTATTTGACATAAAGGAAATAGATTAAATTTGAAAATTAAATTGCTGAGTAAACGAGATATAAATTAAAATATGCACATTTTCACGGTAGGTACTTTTTAGTAAGGCAACGTGATGGAATGAATGCCATCACTGACTTTCCACTGACAATCTATTGAGACTCAACTGCCAGATATTGCAATATATGCAATGTAACCTCAGTAGTCTCAATAGAATTATAATGACCTGTGCTTTCAAGAAAATTACTAGAATTGGGGCTGTCAGAGCTAAATTAGTAGAATTGGAGCCATTAGGGCTAAATTCGTAGAATTGGAGCCATCGGGGCTAAATTCGTAGAATTGGAGCCACCAGGCCTAAATTCGTAGAATTGGAGCCATCAGGGCTACATTTGTAGAATTGGAGCCATCAGGGCTAAATTAGTAGAATTGGGGCCATCGAGGTCTAGCACCGTGCCGTGGCGTAAAAAAGTCCTAATTTCAACAGGGAAGATGGTTTCTCCGCACCACCGGTTTGAGATCCAGAACCAATTTTAATAGCAGTAGAATGCCTTGTGAAAGAGTTCGTTCAGGGAAGTACAGCTACCTAACGTATTTCTGAATTCTTATTTCGGAAAAAACAAATATACGCGGTTTAAATCCGGCAAAATAGCTTCAGTTTCTATTAATTATTGAAAAAAAAAAAAACCTCAAAAGTTTTGCTTATCGACTTTTTTATTGGGATTACATGTACTTGCCAAGATTTATTGAAATCGGTTATGGAAAGTGTGCGAAATCGAATTCATCCCCTAATTTGCCATCCATAGAGGTGAAATATTTTCTTCAACTTTAAATAAGTCCAATACTGCGGTAATTTCTTTCCAATAAAATAAGAATCATTTAAATCGGTTCACAAATGCCGGAATAATCCTGTATGTTACGATACACACAAAAAAAAACTGTCGATTGAGAACCTTCTTGTTTTTGGCGGTTAATAATTATAACAAACTAGAGGAATAATATCGAGTTCTTAGGTTTTCGCGATTGTTACACATAGGAAATGAAACTATTTTTCAGGATTTAAATCGCGTATATTTGTTTTTTCAAACAAACCGACGTTACAGACAAGATCGGAAGAGTCCTCAGGCGCGCATCTATCAAGACCTATTTCAAGCCCCTGAGGAAGATTTCTTAGTTCCTGAGACCCGTGAAATGTAACATCCCCTTACAGGATGCAGGAGTTTACAAGCTTGACTGTGAGTGCGGTCTCTCTTACATTTGTACCCGCGTCAAAGAACATATGTATAGCTGATGTCAAACACCGTCGCGTAAACAAGTCTGCAGTCTGCGAGCATGTCATGGATAAACCTACACATTCAATGAATTTTGACAAACCCCAGATCCTTGCAAAAGAAGTCCGTTATCTACCCAGGATGCTGCGAGAGGCCATTGAAATTAAAAAACATCCTAATTTCAACAGGGAAGATGGTTTCTCCGTACCACCAGTTTGGGATCCAGTATTTCCTCTAACAGAAAAATCCCAAACAGACATAAGACTGCAGTACTAATTAATATGTTTTAGTTTATTCTAATTTCTATTAATAATTAATAATAAATTGAACTTAATAAAAATCATTCAATAAAATAATTTGTAAAACTTAATATAGCGTACCTAAATTGGAATGTTTTCTTTGTAAAATTAAAAATAAGGTATTTAATTAATAACTATTGTAACTATAGTGAAAAACTAGGGTGGTTTGCATCAATATGAGACATAACTGGTTGAAGACTGTACCACCTCAGTCAACTGTGACCATGGGACCTGTAAAGGGCCCGAAACGTCGGTTTGTTCGAAAAAACAAATATACGCGATTTAAATCCGGAAAAATAGTTTCATTTCCTAGAGGAGTAATTCCATAAAAATAAATTAATTTCATGGTAGTAAAACATCATTATATTTACTACAATCAATATTCTTTAAATTGGTTCTGGTATGGGTGTTCTGGGTAGCACGCCGGATTGAATTTCGTTGTTCTGGTACTAATAATACATGGAATTTCTTAATTTGAGGCCACGCATAGATAACCTAGGCCACGTGATTGGTATTGTCGTCTGGCACATTTTTATTACACAACTCCAAAGTAATAAAAATGATTAAAAAGGATTTAAATGCCGAAGATTAAGCAATTGGCTCGAATAATCACAAAAACGACAGTAAAAATGATCCATTAATGTTTTGTGAACCTATTAACATTTTAATAAATAACAATCTATCAGATTAACTAAAAATGAAGCGATGAGGTTTCATTTATTGAATACATTATTCATTTGTAATAAAATTAATATCAAAGTTGCCGACATGGCTCAAAAGATTAGCTCGTAGAATTAGTGGCCGTAGAGGCAGAAAGGTCCTCGAATGGAGACCATGAACCGGAAGGTGTTCAGTGGGACGGTCCCTTACTAGATGGACCTGGTAACCTGGTAAGGGCGGCCGGTAGCCGATGGAAACATGTCGCGCCCTTTCGGCTAGTGTGAAAATCTTTGGAGGAGACCTATGTTCAGCAGTTGATGTCTTCCGGCTGACATGATGATGATGAATAAAATTAATATAGTCGAAATAATTAAAACTGATTCTCATTTATTAAAATTAGACATAGATTTTATATATATATAAAATATTTTATATATATATATACATAGGAGCATTGCGTTCGATGCAAACGCCGTGTTTGATTCCGATAAGCAGTTTTCACAGTCTTGATAGTTTACTTCACTGTGTGAATTTATACCATGTTCACTAGTTTGTTATAATTATTAATACAAAGATCGAAAAAGAAAATTCTTCGATTCGGCGGTCTTCAAGGATACCGTGTCATACGCTCTCCTAACTGAGCTACGGAACGAACCACCAGACCTTACGTAGCATACAGAAAAATTATTTGGTGGTTCGTTCCGTAAATCTGTGCCTCTACTATGAGATTACAGTAACAGTCATGGCTAGCGACCGCTTTTAATGATTGTATACAATATGTTGTTTCAAAGTCAAAGTCAATGGCAAATAATCTTTAAATAAATTACCCTCGAAATCGTCATATTCAATATTTAATCAATTAAACTCTACCGCTCATTCGTAAGGCAGATTCACCTGAGAAGAATGAGCAAGTAACTCTAGGGGTTGCTCTTTGTGAATATATATTTGAATACATTTATCATTACAATATTTAATTTAAACATCTTATATCGAAACTACCTGCAAGAGCTAAACGGGTCACTGCCACGGATTTTTGTCATCCAAGTACGCAGAAGCTGTTTAATAACCTTTAGTATAAAGTTTTTGTTTTACTATAGTCTTAAACCTCGTAAACGTCAAATTTTGAATATCAATCGGATTCTTATTATAGCAGCCTAAACATTGACCCTTAAATTAATTTGAATTTCACTCAAGAAAATGAGTAAAACGACATAAATACTTTTTAAAAATAAAAATAGACATATCCAAAATTACAACTTTAAACGCTCCCAAGCATTTAATAATGATATTCGTAGAGAGGCTTCAGTTAGCTCAGCCCATATCTTCGATTTTAACTAACCTCTTTGTACAAAATAGACAAGGGAGATGTGGTTATTGAACAATGGACGCCTATCGTTTATTTTTAG